AAAAGTATATAAAACGAAAATTTTTGCTTTAGATGATTAATCCATATAAATCTGATGGCAGCATAAATTTATAATAATTTTACTTTTCTAGTCAAACCACACTAAAAACACAAATTTATAGATCAAATTCTTGAGACCGGTTGTCACATTGTTTCGAAAATCCACTTAATAACAGAAGGACTATATTAATTTTCGAAAACTTTCTTTTAACTCCGTTCATGAAAATAGAAATATGTATTGAGAATTAATTGATAAAATTTTTGACAGTTGTATAAAAGCAAATCAGTATAGGTTGATCGTAATAATTATAACAGTTCATATTGACAAACGAGTCAAAAAAATTTCGCTATATTGTTGATAGTTTACAAATGTATATGAAAAAAAAATTGATTCGCCACATTTATTTTCTAAAATTAATACAGGATAATTCAGCAACAATAATGAGCCATATATCAGGGTCGAAAATGAGTAAAATTTTTGTTCGGTTCGGTTTTTTTTGCTTATAAATTCCTTTCCAAAAAAGATAGAAAACAGACAAATTTTAAAAGGGCTGTTAGAGGACATAAAATAAAGAATAGAGGATTATTTGATTTTTACATGTTTTTTGGAAACACAAGAGTTCGAATTTGTGGAAAATATCAATTTCCTTATTTTTATTTTTATACTTTTATTTGTCCCTAGAATGCAAGTATGTACACATACATTGTGTTAATTTACAAATTTGTGCAATATACTTAATTTATTTAATGTTATTTTAGTGTAATTTTTAGTAGCAAATGATAAAAACTATGTGCATTATTTCATAAAGGTAGAATTATTTTTTGAAATAATATTCAATTATTATATTACGTAATTATATTAAAATTATATTTATTATACATATATCTATTCTATATATATATCTACATATCCACTTCACTATAAAATATATATTTTAGGTTTTAAAAATAATTATTGTACGATATAAATAATAGGATTTCTATTTAAAGCGCAATTATCCTTCTTTTTAATTATTTCAAAGTGTAAAACTTTAAATATACTCGTAACTAATACAAAACAATATTATCTATATGTTTTCGATATAAAAAATAATACGTGGAAAAAAAAATTTCAAGGACCATTAATTTTTAATTATAAGCAATATAATTTTTATGACAATAAATAACTATAATTAATTGAAATTAACAATTGAAAAATATAAATATTTCCAGTTCCTTATAGGAAGTAAAAATTAATTTAGAAAAGGTATTTTTTTTGTGCCCTTAACAAAATGGTCTTTCTAGGTTTTATAGTTAAATATCTTTCAGTAACAATATATGTAAAATGTAGAAGGTAGAGGTAGAAAGGTAGAAATATATAAGTCAATATTTGTTATAGGTGCATTTAGTATTAAACACTTATTATAAGTATATGTATATTAAATAAATAATAATAATAATCGTAAGAAATCCTTGTGTTTGCAATTTAAATAAATTCTTAATTATACTTGAGAATCTATTTATCACATTTGCATAAATTTAAAGAATATCAGTCTTTACTCGAACTGTTGCGGCTTATTCAAATATAGATTTACATTTTAAAAAAAGTAGTGCAATGGAGTCCTCACGAAAAATAATTAAACAATTCTAAACGCACAACATTCGAAACGAAAATGCTGCACTTCAATTGTTAATGTGTCAGCAAATCCTTAAAAATTTTTTATTTTCTTTCGTATGATAGTGTGAAGACGTCACACACTTGTAATTGTATTGGACTACATGTATTTTTAATAAGAATAGTGGAAAATTAAAAATTCTAAATTTTACAATGTCTAGTTGTAAATCTAATTTTACAACGTTCAGGTGTGACTTTTTAAAAATTCAATTATCAACTTATAATATTCTTCTTTTAAATTAATTTTTATTTTGCATTTTTAAATTTAAAAATTTAAAAAAAAAAAATTTGTAAATCGAAAAGTTCCCAATAAATCTTGTTTTCCAAAGAAGAATATTTTGTATTAATGTTCTTATAAGCATTACAAAGGGTGCGTACCAAAACACAAACCCTTTGATGTCAAGTTTTTATTTTACATTTACTTAGTTAAGCTTCATTCAAATTTCTATTTTATTTTTATTTAAGCTTTTAAAATTTCTATTTTAAATTGTTTTGTATTTTGGTAAGCAACATAAAATGTATTCCGTCTATCCTTTTGCAATATATCAGAATGACATAAATTTGACTTTATTTTGATATTTTGTTAAAAATTACTAAAATAAATTTTACATTCGATAGATTATACCAAAATTCTAAAAAGTCAAGTTGATGTCAAACCTTTTGTTTGGTAAATACCTTAAGTAAATTAGAAAAAAACTGCGATATTACAATTAAGCAAAATACAAAAATTAAACTACAAATAAAAAATTTTTATTGTCAAATAACGAAAGCAATGAAAATCAATCGACATAAAAAAAAATAAACAAAAAAAATGAGTTAAAATTCAGGAAAACAATCACTATTCTTGAAATTACATTTTTGTTCTGTCAAATTGGTGACTTTGGATATTTGTCACTTTGGCTATAAGCTCGACTTTCAAAACAAGACTAAAAAAAGTTAATAATATTTAGTAGCATATCAGTTATATAAAATTTTGCAATTATTATTTGCTTTTCTTATTAATCACCCTATCACATTTTTTCATTTTTTTTATGAAATGTCAATATTTAGATATGCATGTATTGCGTATTCATGCATATTTAATATATGCATTTAATTTTGATTTAGATTATCCTTTCGCGTGAATTAAATCCTTAAATTTGCAGAACCATCTGTTCTGCAGTTGCATGAAGAAATTTCCATTAAGTTAAATATTTTAATACTTTAAAAGAACTGCAGTCTCATATTGAAAGTAGAAAATAAAATAAATTTCATCTAGAAGGATTATATAAAAAAAAGACCTTTTCAATTGTCAGATACAATTTACTGCAAATTTAATACTGGTTAATAAGTAATTATTATTGGATTTTTTATAAATAAACTATTGAATTTTTTAAGCATATTCTCCTATTCCCACTGCTAACGTTTAATTACGGTTAAGTTTTAATTAATGCCCGATATAAATAACATTTATTTATAATATGTATATATTTGTATATATATATACAAAATAAATATATATTCTTAATGTTATTTTATTAATTTACTCAAGTTCATATACGTTACATACGTTATGTGTTGCGATTATTACTCGTATAAGCAAAGCAAATTTTTTACATTGATATTTTTATATAAATACTTTTATATTTTTTATACAAATATGTACAAATACACGTGTATAATGTACATAATATATATAGTGTATTTAAAAATTTCAATATTTTTTTTTTATTTTTATCCTATTTTATTACCGTTATATATTGTATGTATATTTATATAGATCAAAATTAGAAAAAGAAACTATAAAAATAATCGATAAATTTTTTTATGTTTTTTAAATATTATAAATATTTTTTATACTTCTATATAAATAATAGAGCAGCTATATTATATGGTTCAGAGGTCGGTAACATTAAATAATAGTCTCAAATCTGAAATTGAAATGTAAGAGCTATCCGAACTAAATTTTACTTAACATGAAGCAAAATGAACGCAATTCGTTTTGTTGCTTGGGTTTTGTTACTATGGGGCTATTATTTTTTTTGAATTTTAATCAGAACTACATAACTCCGGATTAAATGTAATTAATTAATTGGTAACCCGATGGTCCGCTAATAATTAATTTAGTTTTCCGATCCATAACAATATATATACAAAGATTATATGCCTGATACCATAAAAACGAAACTAAAATCGATTTAACACATTAATTCTCTTATTTATATTTTAATTTATATTTTATATGGTATATTTTTTATGTATATATATAATACATGTAGAAATATTATTTTCCACGAAATGAAAGAAGTTTTGGTTACTTTACCATTGGTATTCTTGAAATTTAAAAATTTACTATAATGCTTTTAATTTAAATAGAAAGTTTACTTCTGAACTTTAACGCAACCTATGAAATTTTTAATTTGTTTTCGAATTTTGCTTTTTGCGAACAAAACTAATGAAATAATTTTTATTACTTTTTTTTTGAAAGGCATTGTTAAAAATAGCTCAAAAACCATAAAATGTCTAATTTTGAAGTTCACATTACTCTCTATTCATATTTTTTCACACTCTTTTGGACTACACTCTATTTAAATTAGATAAAGCAGTAATTGGATTAGGAAATACGTTAATATGTTGCTTTAAAAATTTATATCCTTAACGTATTATGGCACGTTTCATAATTTGACTGTTTTAGTTCAGTCTATAATCGTATTAAGGTTTTACATGACTGTTCCATGTATACGAGGTATGAAAAATTAAAAAAGAAATAATTAAGTCTACTTGAGTCATATTTTCAGAATTTAAAATTTTCACCCTATAACTATGTAATTTTATATTTTTAATTGTTCTACTTAATGGAAATTTAACAATATTAGGTGAAATTTTATAAACATTGTATACTACCAGATACTACGAAAATACTAAAATTATATTCAATTATTTGAATTTCTTACCACATTTTTATATTACATAATAGTGCCGTAAATATGACAAAAAAATCAATATACTTACTTACATTATATGAAATAGATATAAAAATTCTTAGTAATAAAAAATACAAAAAAAAAAAATATTATATTGGCGTAATGCGTCATCATAATCAGAATCCTACGGTTATGGATTTGTCTGCATAAAATTTAATATCATTTGAATTCCAATATTCTTATAGTTTCAAAAAAGAAATAAAAATAATAAAATGAACCCTGACCTAATATTCATTTTATTTTATTGGACTTTTTTTTTAAATTTTCATTAAAAATTTTCAAATTTATATTACATTATTCAATTTTCATAAATTTTTGAAATTTTAATGCAACTTTTTATTTTTAAACTTAATTTTTAAATTTTAATTTTTATTGCTTTTACAGAAATTGGAAAACTTAGATGATTCAAGCTTAAAAAAGTTATTAGAAGAAGCCTACTCCTATAAGAATCCCGCCGATAAAAAAACTAAAAGTGCAATTTTTTTGGTAAGTTTATTACGGACTCAATTTGTACAAAAGTTACGTTATTTTAATTTTATGATTAATGTTTTTATTAATACTTTTAATAAAAACATTAATCATAAAATAAATAATACTATCAATATTATTTATTAGGATCCGTGTTTGAATAATTTAATTGTGCCCTTAATATTCTTATTCCGTATTTATTTTGAAACAAAAAAAAACAAAACTTAAAATAGTTATTTTTTTCTTGCATCACATTTAATTGGTTTTTTCTCTTAACTCATCATTTTGCCTTCTGTTGGAAATATTGTAAAGAATTGAAAATAAAATTTTTGCCAAAAGTTTGATTTTAAATCATGCGTTTTCACGGAATTAAAAAGCTAAACATTCGTATTCTGTGAGATAATGGAATATTATTCAAAAGTATTGAATAATTTTATATGCCACATCACTTTAAGCAATGCATCTTATAAAGGAAATATAGCTTATTGTAATAAAAATGTAAGGCCGAAAACCTATCTATGAAAACTTATCTTCCTTAAAGAATCTAAAAAAATTTGTTTTCGGTTTCCGAATGCCTATGCCTCCTATATTTTTTCGGATAGATGAAAATATGATAAAATTTTTATTTCGACTTGTATTTTAAGAAATGCTAAATAATACAAATACTGTAGAAGTTTTACAATTAAGTATATATATAAGCAATTTTCTTTGTTGTTATATAAATAACTTTCCTACTATCATTCATATTTAATTATTTATAGATTAACATAAAATAATTATAAATTAAATATAAATTTTTTTAACATTTTATTCTTTTTATATTTTTAAATTAAGCAATTATTGCAAAACGCAGAAAAAGAAGAAGATAATTTTGATCGTCGTATACGAAGTGATCGTACAAGTAGTAGTTCACTTCAAGATCTATTCGAAGCATCTCGAATAGATTATGATCTAAATAGTAATAACAAAAATCGCCGTCATCATAATTCACGTCATAAAAAAAATAGTTCAGTATCATCCAGACAACGGGAAGGTGGAAGTTTACCTAGTAATGTGAATGTATCAAATTGTAATTTAAGTGTATATGATCGACCATTTTTAAATGAAGTTGTAATTGAAAGACGTGGTAAAAATGAACGTACATGCTCCGGTACAAGTGGTTCATCAATGTCAACTTTTGGTTATGAATCTATTAATTCAAGTAATAGTATATGTAAAGATTTTGATATGAATAGTGGTGGCGGTGGAAATTGTATATTAGGATCAAATAATTGCACAAATAATAATGGCGACGCAATTATTGATATTGGTGAAACTGAAGAAACTTCACTTTTATCTAAAGATTCAGTAACACAGGTAAAATCATTTATAATATAAAAAAATTTAAATATTTAATAAAAAAAATATGGAAACTATGAATGCATTTTTTAGGGATTTTTTGAGCCTATGGATATTGATGATTATGATGAAATTAAAAGACATCCTCGTTCTATAACAAATCAAGTAATTAATAATAGATTAGAATTTTCAGCATCCGAACCAAAAAGTTATGTAGATGAAACAATAAGATTTCCGTCTTTAGAAAGTGGTGGTAAAATTAGTGTAGATGCTACTTCTTGTGTATCCTTAGATGAAAAATATCCGTCATGTAAATCAATATTGGGAGAAAAAACCGAATTAAGTAAACAACAGCCGATTTTCACCACAACTAAAAATATACCAGTGAGTAATTTCAAAAATTAAATAATATTATATTCTCTTTCATTTAATGTATAATATTATTTTATACTTTAAATGGAATAAATTCTGTTTTATCTTATTTTAGTACTTATTAACTTTTTCTTAACAAATTGTTAATTACAATATTTTCATAGAAACAGTTTGATGAGAACGGAAACGCTTTAAATACGCATTTCATTAGTAGTATTCAAGCTCCGCCAATTAGTCAATCGCAGGCGAAGGCTAAAAAGAAAAAACCTCAGTCAGAACGTAATACAACCGCGATTAATGTTCAAAATTTAGAAGGTTTTCGTGGTAACGATGATATTAACGATTTGGTTAAGTATATTGAAAATGATGAAAAAGGTGAAAATAATTCAACAAGTAATAAAAGAATTGAAAGAGCAACAAAATTAAACGAAACAAATAGCAATCGAAATAAAAGAGATCGAAGAAAGGAGAAAGACCATAAAGATATTCAACAAAAGTTGAAAAAGTCAAATTCTTTAGAAGAATTACGTAGTTGTACTAAATTAGATGAAGATGAACAGAAAATGGAAACGCATGTTGTACAATTGCGTAATAAATCTAAAATTACTAAAAATAATAATACTACCAGTAATATTACTGCTGGTAGCGGTAGTAGCAGTAGCAGTAGTAGCAACAGTAGTTGTGCAAACAATAATAATAATAATAATAATAATAATAATAATAATAATAATAATAATATTAATAACAATAATGTTAATAGTAGTAGTAATAGTAGCAACAACAATAGCAACATCGGTAATAATAGTAACGAACATGTAACACCTAAAGAAAGCGTAGGTGGTAATAATAATAAGCACAAACGCGGTGAACGTAGATCATGGGGAACTGAAGAATTATCATATTTAAACGAAAATAATGCTATTGAAGAAGTAAGGGAAAAAGTTAAAGAAAAAGAAAAAAAGAAAAATAAAGATGTTGTTAGTAATATTAACAGTAACAATAATATTGGCAACAATTATTGTACTAATAGCAATAATAATAACATGAACAGTAATAATGCAAACAATGGCAATGCTGGTTCAAGTTTAACTTCTTCCGGAGTAATAACACCTTTATCGAACAACAATTCTCTTAACAATAGTGAAAATAATAAAAATGAAAAAATATCCAACAAAAGATCAATCAAAGATAATATCGATAATACTTTAAATAATAATTACATAAGTAACAGTTGTGGCTTGTCAGCAACTATTTCATCCACTTCATCTTCTTCAAATATTGCAAATAATAATAATTTAGATTCTCTACAGTATGAAACCGCTGGCTTCCACGTAGTAACCAAAAAGAAAAAATCGAAAAAACGTCAAATTGGTGATGAAAATAATCAAAATATAAACGCAGGTAACAATCAAAATAACCGCAATAATCAAATTTCTTCTTTTGGGTCCAGTAACAGTCATAATGTTAGCGGCAATAATAAAATATATAACAATAATAGAGATAATAATAACCAACAGTATAATAAAGGTAATAATAATAAATATCATAGCAATAACTCTAATTTTCATAATGACCGAGACATCTACATACGCAATAATAAAGACAAATCGCGAAGAAAATCTACTTCATCTATGCCACCATCAGAGAAATCTGATTCAAGTGATTCGGAATCAGTTCATTCATTACCAATAGAGTCAACATCATCTCGTATTAATTTTAATTCAGCAATGGCTCCATCTTCAAAATCATCAACGCTTGATAAAAACTCAACTAATAATAAAAATACGAACAATGTAGGTAACACATCCAGTAGTAATTCGACAAAATCTTACGCTGATATTACAAGATTTAGTACAACATCATCAAATGTAAATTTAAATTCAAATATCAGTGATAAATGGCCAACTGTTTCCTCTAATGCTACGGATGTTAGTTCTAAGCCAAATAAAAAAGGCACCAAACTTGATTTTCCCGATTTACAACAACATAATACAATGGCAGACAAATTGAATAGTAACAATGAAATTTTGGGTAATAATAATCTAATGGGCAATGCAGGCAATACAAAACAGTTACAACAACATGCCTCATATTCACAAAGTTTGACTGTTAATGAAGAACAGATCATAAGTAAAAAACAACCAAATTATAATAACATAAATAATAACCCAAACAAAATTAAAAATTCTGAAAAGCCTACAAATAACATCATAAATAAAAATGATAAAAATCTTTCAATTAATCCGGATACTGTAAATTTAGTTAATAATTTCGGAAATGTTAGCACAATATTGAATTTAAATAATTCGAATTCAAAGCAAATGTTACAAAAATCTAAAAGTGTTGAAAATGAAACTTATTATAATAGTATAGATCAGTATCCTGCACTTGGTAAAACAGTTAAAAGACAAAATACAAATGCTGGATTCTCCACAAATGCAGTAGTTACAATTCAAAGTACAAATCAACAACAGCAACAACAACCTCATATTCAACAACAACAACATACTCAAACAGTAATATTGCAACAGCATCAACCACAACATCAATTAAAACAATCCGCAACTAATGTAAATGTAATGACATCTATTGCAGTTTCAGCACCATCAGCTTCATCAATTCTACCAAAGCAACAAAATATAGCAATTCAAACGCCAACAGTTGTTTTAAATAACACTGGCGTTACAGCCAATATTGCATTCGCTTTGCAACAAAAGCAACCACAACAATCACATGTGATATTTATGCATCCAGCATCTCCGCTGCCATTGACATCATTAGCATCGAATCCTATACTTAATAGTGATAAAGCTGAAGTCTTAGTAGTAGTTAATAATAACGCAAATAATTTAATTTATTCTACAACAAATGATTCTATGTCACATAATATAAATTTAGTTAATACTACCTCGTTATCTACTTCTAATAACAATAGTAGTAGTGATAATAGCTATAAATGTAATAATAATAATAACAATAATAATAATAATAATAATAATAATAATAATAATAATAATAATAATAATAATAATAATAATAACCAGAATAATAATAATAATAATAACAATAATAATAATAATCATAATACTACTAATATTACAAATTACGTTTACCATAGTAATGAGAATAGTAACAACAACTATAACGATAGTAATAATAACATCAATAGTGATAATAATAATAATAGCATTAATAATTTCAATAATAATACCAACAATAATAATGATAATAATAATGATAAAAATAATAGTAATAATAATAATACCAGTAGTCATAATAACAATAATGATAGTATTAATAATAATATTAATACTAATAACAATAATAATACTTGCAATAGTAATATCAATAATACAAACACAACTAGTAACAGTAATCGAAACTCAATTAACAATAACAATCCGAATAATACAAATTTTAGTAATAGTAAAAAATCAAAATCTAATGCCAAAGTTTCTAATGCCAATAGTGAGTTAGTCGATGAGAATTCATCGATTGCGTTGGGAATTGTTAATGTCAGCAATATTTCACAAACCGTTAATAGTAAACGAAAGCGTGATAAAAATTTACAACAACATCAGGTTCAGTCGAAACATGAACAAAAGCAAGAAGAGCAACCAAATCAAGAAGATCAAAATGCACCAAATGACAAAATTTATCAACAAGCACCTCAAACATATATTAGTCATACTATTGTTAGTCATATTACGAACACTTCACCAAATCAGGAAAATTCTTTAGCAAATTTACATACAAAACTTACATCATTATCATTTTCATCAACTAGGCCGGCTGTGATTATATTGAATGATGACTCTTCAGTTCAGCAAAATTTAACAAATGAATTTACTTTTGGTGATTTTAACGAAGAAGAATTAAGATTTTATAATAGCTCGTCAAGTGAGGTAGTTATTAATAGGGAATCAGGTATAACAAATGATAGTTACTTAGAACAGCAACAAAATAACAATAAAAGTAACAACACTATTTGTTTGGGGAATTCAACAAATTTAGATGATTCGGGTGGCCATTATAGTTTTAATAGTATTGAATCAGAAATTTGTAACAACAGTGACGTTTCAATATCGTCAAATCAGCCAATTATTTGCAATAAAAATCAACAATCACAACAAATAACTGATAATGGAATTAATATTTCGACAAATTCTGATTTAGGTTATCGAAGTCAAATATCTGAAGAGCATGCCCTACAAAATGATGTTTTACCAAATACTTCTACAAATGTTGAAGACACGAGTTCTTATAAAAATAATAGCTTTGCTGACGCTGAGAATGATGTAGTTTCTACTTCTGCCATGTCAAATGCGCCTATTGCTAATGACGTTAACATTAGTAACAGACTTGGAAATAATGGAAAAACTAATAAAATTCAACAAAAATTATCGAACAAATTATTTAGTGGTAAAACAACACAAAATAATTCTCAACAATCGTATCAACAACTGAATGAAAATAAGGGTGCAATAATTACTTCTTTGTCATTAGCAGGAAGTAAAAATATTAATAACAATAATAATAGTAGTAAATTACCAAATTTCAATGCAACTACAACTAAGCATTCAGTTTCAACATCAACATCAATGTCGCCACCACCATATACATTACCGATAAAGCCTTCTAATTCCATTTCCACTGCAACAAATAATATTGATAATATGGATAATGTTGCTAATAGAAAAAATCAAAAGCAAAATTACCATAATAGTAATAATAACAGTTATAATTATAATAATAACAAACAAGATGTTAGTACATCAACAACGCCAACAACTAATGCAGCTACAACTGCTGCTGTTACTTTACCATTATGCTTAAGTTCCAATAATAATATAAATATGAGTACAGCTACTAATGACATAAATATTACTATAGAAAATCAAAAGAAAATGAAAAAGGATGTTAATATTAAATACATTGCACCAAATATTGATCCTGAATTGAATTCAATTAATTTTGAAAAAATTATTAATTTTGTCGGAAAAGGTAAGTTCCACTTTTTTTTTTAATTTTTTAAGTATGAATAGATATTCTGACTGTAATAAATTTCAATTAAAACAAAATTTATATTAAAAATTTGTATCAAAATTTTGTATTGTTTTGTTGTTTTGAAAAAAAATTCGTAAGTGTGAAATTATATTATCAGATCATTGAAGCAAGGTTGGAAATTTCAACAAAAATTATATTTTTTTTTTTTAATTTTAGCTTGGGAGGAAATTTGTGTAAGTCGTGAAGGCACCGAATTTTATGATGGACAATAAATCAAAGGAACTGAAATCATTCACGGAATAACAAAAGGAACAGCAATTCTCCTCTTCAGTTAAATAAAACTAAGAAATTTAATTAAATATTTAACATTAAAACATACTGAATACGTATATCGATATTTAATAATATGTCAAAAAAAATTATTGTAATATTTAGTTAAAATGAAAATTAAATTATAAATTTTTTATTCTTAAAATTATTCTTAAAATTTTTTTTTTAAATAGTAATATATATATATATATAGTTAAAAAAAAAAAAACAAAATAAAAAAAAATTAAAATATAAATTTAAAAAAAAATGAGATGAAGAAAAACATTTAAATTTATAAATAATGAAAATATTCAAATTATGTAATTTGCAAAATATTTAAATAGAGACAGAAATATTATATAAAAAAAGAAGTACACATAACGTCTATTATGATTATGTAATTTATATGTAGCTCGATGTATACATTATTTTACGTACATTCAAGAAACTTGAAATTATACAATTAAGCATTGAATGAAACTACTTTTGAGTATAATTAAATGTTTAATGAAGAAATCCGTAAATAAAAAAATAAGAAAAAATAAAATTACAATTGAGTAATATATTGAATTGAAAAATTATTGTTAAACAGAAGAGGATAAAACAAATAAAATAGTGCAACAGAAAAAAAACTATAATATATTCAAATCCATAATATTAATATAGTGTAAATGCTTTTATGCCTCATAAACTATTTAAGATTAATATTGTAATAATTCAATAATAATTTTAAAAAATTTTATTTTATTAAAGTACCCAAAATCTTATCAATTATTGAGGATTTCTTTTTAATTTCAGAATTTGGTTATTTTTAATTTTGTAATATTTATAATAAATAATTCTTAAAATCATTTTCGGTTTTATTTTTAAATTTTATTAAAGGGGCACAAAAAATATTTATTTGCTAAATTTATTCATTTGCTGTTTCTTTTTTTTTTCATATTATAAAACAAATTTAGCACTAAATTTTTTAGGCATCGAACTATTTTACAACTTTTGTCCTTTTGTGAACATTTAATAGTTTTTCACTCATTTTTAGTGCAGTTTTATTATAAATTATAGATTATAATAAAAAAAAAAACGCTTTCCATTTAGACATTGTCGTAAAATGTTAAAAAATATTCTGAAATTGAAAAGAAATTTCTTCATTTGATTTGGGCTGCAGATGTACATATATATTAAATAGTAAATAATAAATAATTTGAATCCTTATTCATATTAATTATAGAGATAAAATGAAAAAAAAAATAAAATATACATACACTATAGCTAAATTAAAAAATTAAGAAAGAAACAAGCAAAGCGATATTTTTACTTTGACTTTTTATTAGCTGAAAGTATTGTATTTAATATTATTAGAAAAAAGAAAATGGAAAAACTGAAAAAGTTTCATATTTGATAATTACTAATTTTATATATGTTTAAATACATAATATGAACATTTATATACATATAAATACTTTATAAGTCCTTAATCTTATCTTATCTACTTTATTATTTGATATTTTACAAAAACAAAATATATACATATATATATAAAATTATAGAATAAAATATATTTATATGTACAATATTAATATTATTATAATTGAAATAGAAAAAGATAACAAAAAAGAAAAAATGAGAAAAAAAAAAACATATTAATTAGATTAATACGTAAACGTATCACATAATTATTTATTGTTATTAATATTATGTTTTTTTTTGATTAAATTTGATATATAAAAATGAAGTCCTTTAAATTTTTAATTTTGTTTATCTGTTATATTAGTATTTTTTATTTTATCAGTTTTTTTTTTTTTTAATTATAATTAATGTTTTAGAACATGTATTTAAAAACGATTAATATTTCAAAAATGAATTGTACACAATGGAGTATAAAGACAGTGTAAATATCAATAAAAGAATTTTAAAGTTTCAATGAATCTACATTTGTTTATTATGCAGTAACCACTTTAACCATTAAAATAATATCTTCAAAAAACAAATTTAACTTTAAAATATAAATCTATTTATTTTTTTAATATCAATTATCGTTTTACTTGAAAAAGAAATAGGATAGTATGAAATTCAAACAGATATTCTGTAACATTAGAAAATTTTATTTAATCATTTCAGGAAAAATATCTATTTATATTCATATATTTCGCACTGCTTATCACCCATATTTTTTAAAAATTATCCCATATGATGTGATGGGATGTTATTCGAACAGATTGGCTTTCTCAGAAAAAAATAAATTTTGAAATTTTGAAATTATGTACTGAAATTACAATATTATTGAATAATATCCCATCATATCATATGATGCTTTTAAAAAAATACGGATGTCTCCTGAAATAATAGAAAAAATAATTGTGTAGCGTTTTTAAATAAAATTTGTTCTTTTATGTTGTCGAATTTTATTCTTATATTATATGCAAATATAATATGAATTTTGATATAAAAGAAAAGAAATTAAAGAGAAAAAATAAAAAGAAAAAAATATAGTTTAGTAAATTAAATAATATAAATTAAGTGCTTCTAGATAGTCATTAAAATATTACAAAAAAAAATGTACATAAAAAATATACTTATAAGTAATATGAAGTAATACCTATTATTTATAATATATAAATATATTTATAAATATAAATATAAATAACAAAATATATATGATACAAATACATTAAAATGTTAAGATAATTTTATTTTAATGAAACGATAAATAAAAATAAAAAAAGGAAAAAAATTAATAGAATAAAAGGAAAAAATTATATTAAAGAAAAAAATTTTTATTTGGTTTTTATATTAAAATTATAAAATAAAAAAAAATAATCACATAGGATTAAAGGCAAAAAAAAAAAATAAAAAAAGAAAAGATGTATAAATTTTGTATAGATATATTAAATGATATGTTTACTATTTTTGTTTTTTTTAAATGCACGGTTTTATGTCGAAAATTTTAAATTTTATTGATATTTTTAAATTTATACACAATATTGTAAAATTAATTCCTAATTTTATTGATTTATTTAATATTAGGAACAATGCTAAAAATTTTCTTGTTTTAAAACTGAGCTCCAAATAATCTTTGTCTAGAATCTAGATCAAAATAATAATGTATTAAATATTTTTTATTGTTAACCATATATATGCAATCTCATATGAAAAAATGTACAATCGCATATATGCTCAGCCTTCTATTCTATACTAAATTTATTAAAAATTAGATGAATGTACGCATTAATTTATTAAAAATATATTTACAAACTCATATAAATATAAAATCTAAAATTTCACAAAAATCAAATCAAGTATAATATTACTGCAACATTTTTAATTATTATAAGAGAGATTCCTTTTCATAACATTTATTCTCAGTTTATTTTTAGAAGTAATATTATTAAATTACTTTCTTTTATTGTATTTTTCACATCAATACATTCTATGCAAAAAAAGGAACTTTTTAATATTATTGTTTTTATTTTAATTTTTTGCCTTGAATCTTATTTTATATTTTGCAATGAAATTTAAATGATAGATAAAATAATATAGAAAAAACTAAACTTAAAAAAAAAATTAAAAAAAAAAATTATTACAAAATGTGTATGCGCTGTGAACATGTATAAAATAATATATTGAAAAATAAAACTTAAAAATTAATTTTTCTCAAGTTTAGACTAAAAACCATATGAAAAAATTAAAATAAATATAAAAAAAAAATAAAGCAAAAAATAACTGCTAAAGGCAAGTTTTAATACTGCATATATAATATAATGTCATTTTTTTTTTTCTGAAATTAAATTAATTTTACTTAATTAAAAACAAAAAAAAAAAAAATAGTTTATGTTTTCCGAGCGTGAAAGTGTTTTGAGTATTGAATAAATAAAATAAAATAAAAAAGGATATATGTGTTAGAAAATTAATAAATTAATATAAAATGTAAAATATATAAGTAAATGTATTTTATTTACATTATATATAAAATAATTTATAAATATTTAACGTATGTAAATAATATTATTATATGTTTATACTCATATCTTATGTATTTATGTATACAAGGTGTTCAAAATTTAGAATAAAATCTAACATATGAATAATAGGCCCTCAAAGGAAAAGAAATTGTTCATGAGAATACTTTTTTATTTACATGTTATATTAAAAGATACAAAAATAAAAAAAAATTATCTAAGCTTTTCAAAAGCTTTTACATTTAGGTTTTAAAATACTGCTTTTAATATATTTTAAAAATCACATACGAGTAATACTTTAAAAATTTTCTAAAATATTTTTAAAACTTTTTTTTTTAATTTTAATTTTTTCCACAATCTCTCTTTTTCATAAATACAAATAATTTTTTTAATTGTTAACTTTTCAGTGTTCATTATTTTTAAATACTACAAATTGCACTAATAACTTTTTACCTTTTTTTTGATCAATTACTCAAAAAATTTGCAAATTTCTGTTGAATCAAGAATCACAATACTGAAAAATTGTATTAAAAAAAATACTTTTTTAAAAAGTTAAAAAGAAAAAGTAGTTGAATTAATATGGCCCAGTATTTAAAAAGAAGGCAACAATTTATATTACTTTTCGACATTCAATAATTAATTGTAGTAAATTTGGGTTTTCTCGTTAACTAATTGTCTGCTTTTCCTTGTTAACAACTTTATTGTATTTTTTATAGAGTTTATTATAAATTTTCGCTTTGTAAAAAAACTGATTAACAGAAAATTGTAAAATAATGAAAGTTACTTACATAATATTTATACTTTCAATATTTATAAATGAAAATGATATTTTCAAAGAACAATTTTTTTCCAGTTTTGCTCCTTAATTCGTTTATGTTCACAACATTTAGTTGAAAACAAAAAATTATTTATATACATATACATATTATAATATAATTTATATATATAAATATAATTTTATAATTCCTTTCAAATGTTTCAGTAAAAATAAGGATATTCGCATAAGAAATTAATAAAATTGTGAAAAAGAAAAACAAGAAATAAATCATATATTTATATGAAACTTTAATATTTTATATGATTTAAAATTTATTTCATTTTTACATAAAGTTATAAAACAAGAGTTTCAAGTATAAAATACCGAAAATTGATTTTGAAAATTTGAAATATAAAAGATAATATAATTTAAAATATGATTAATATTGTACAAAGTATCAATCAATCAATGTATTCTTTTAAATATTTTGGGTTGTTTTTAAAATTTTTATTTTTTGTTTTTTTTTTTTTAAATCATAATAAGTGTATCTATATTTTATACATTTTAATTTACTTAATACTTCTTTCGTTATAGAAATGCAAATATTTTAACACAATCTTTGAATATCCTATTAAAAATATCGTATTAAAAAGAAATAAAAGAAATCAATCATAAAAATTTTATTCAAATAAAAAACAGGCATTTTTTTTTTTAATTCAAAGCAAAAATAAGAAAAATTGTAATAATTACAAAAAATTAAACAGAAAACAATAATGGTAATTAATTTTTTTTTAACTTTTAATTTTTTTTTCGTTTTGAATAGTTTTGGATGAAAAATTATTATTTATTTTAAATAAATTTTCCGTTCTTCTTTACCTTCTTTTTTTATATATATATAAAAAATGATTTCTTTGTTTTTTTATGTTCGACTATATTTTCGTTTTTTTTTTTTTTTTTGTAAAATGAAACTTATTTATTTTAAAAATAAATATGAAAAGTAAAAAAATATAATATGATTAAACTTTGAAAAAGAATTTTATTTGTTTTATTTTAAAGCTAAGCATTGCTACTGCTATTTTTATTACTTACCACTTTTTTCAAAAATTTTTTTTTTATTAATTTTATATACTTAAATAAAGAAAAGAAAACTTTTTTTAAGTCTAATTTCCAATTTAGTAATATTCATATCAATTTAATTAAGATTTATAAGATAATGTTGATTAATAAGTTTAATGCATGCGTTCCAGAAAAAATGTTCCCAGAAAATTACATTTTCAATAATTATAATTCAAATTATTTTAAACTAATTATTATTATTTTGAATAATAATAATGAGTCGTGGCTAATTTCTGTATTCTTCTCACACAGTTATACCTTATTATACTATAGGGTGACCTTTTTAATGCGGATTGCTTTTTCAAATCATGAATTTACGAAAATAATCTTTAGAAAATATAACCTGATCTACAATAGAAGTATTTTATTTTATATACTGAAGTCAAAGTACATACATACATGATTTTCTTCCTAGCATCCTAAATAGAATATTAATCCTTACTTTATTCGACTCAATTCAATTTAACATTTTACAAAATATGAAGATAGATACCTTTTTATTTTTTTAAATAATCCATGGTAATTATTCAAAGCAAGGAATTTTAGAAAAGTAAATTCTAAATATGTATTTCATATATTTTATGTCACATTGGCAAACACTGATCTTGAAATTTTGATTTCTTTAAAAATTTTTTAATGCATACAAAAAAATTAAC